ACAGAGTAGATTTTGCTTTTCTGCTCTTGTTTTGTGGACCACACGGTGAATTGTACATGTTTTTATCCAGTATTGATAGCTAAGAGACATTTTACAGCCAACTGGTTTCAGTGCTGGGTTTGAGCAAAGCTGTGGACGTTTAACCAAAAGGTTTGCCACTTGATGGTTTCAGTACTAAGTTTTAAGTCCTGCACCTGAGAGTATTTGGGACGCAAAGCCCCACATCTTTAGTAGGCAAACTAATCCCAAAAATACAACATGACGGCTTCCAGAAAACAGAGTCCTGCTGGCTTCCTCTCCCAACAACCRCAGAAGGTGGGGACTCTGGGTTGAGGCCAGTGGCTACAATCAGTGCTTTTTGTTTGCCAGAACAATCTAACTGCCAAAATTAAAAACAGAACAGAGTCTGGTGCTGAAGAAGACCAATAAAAATATAAACATGGATTGAAGTCAGCACTTGAGCTCATTTTCTTCCCGTATAACACTTAAGTCTTCTGAGTGGTGAATAATTCACTCCATGCAGCCACATTTACAACCCCAGTTTGAACTTAATGTAAAGAAGGTGTATTCTTTCTTGTTCAAAACAACTGTTCATCTCATTTGAACAGGTCTGAAAACCTCCTAAAGGAGAATTCAGTGTTTTGATTCAGCAATACAAAATGTATTTGACATGCAAAAATCTGCTCACAAACACTAATAATTATTTATGACAGCTTTCATAAAAAGTCCAATAAGACTAAGTGCATTTAAAGCAAAATGGTTTTCTCTTGCTCAGCAACAGTTAGCAGGAATCATGATAGGAGCATTGCATAATTTTTAACTAAATAAATAGCAGCAATTAGAAAATAATATTGTGAGCCACGTACAGTTCGTCACCAAATAACTGGTTCAGTCAGGTCCTCAGATTGGCTCTGCAGGGGTCAGCTGAGTTGCTGGTGGGCGGCTGAGAAAGAGGAAGTAAAGGGAGTGACAGGATTTCTGAAATAATCTCCAGCTGCACGCTGCCCAGCCTATAGTTTATCCTTATGCAGTTTTRCATGTGTGTTTCCTCTGCCTGAAAAGCAGACTGTTGTTCCAATAAGCTCCATGAATCAGACTCTTGTCTACGACCTGCTGAGCAAACCTGCCACGTGTCTCTGACTGCTGAATGGAGGTTTGGCTCTGATCTAGTCCAGACTCAAACTTTAAAACTTACCCTGGACTTGGCCTGAGTGTTATGTTCTGTCTGGTTTCATGTTTTATTATGACTTTATTCTGATTTTCTGTCATGTCCCTCTGTTTTCCTCCTGTCTGCCTTTGCTCGGCCCTGCCCACTCACACCTGATCCTCATGTTTCTTCCCCAGGTATTTCTTGTTTTAGCTCATTAGTTCTCCCTTTATATTCTGTCCTTTTGTCCTCAGTCTTTGTCAGATCCTTGTTCTCTATGTCTCATGCCAAGCATCTTGTTTGCTGCCACGTCAGCGCTTTTGTTTTTTGCTTTAATAAACCTATTTTTTCCAACTCTTTTTGCCACCCTCACTCAGTCCTGCATCTGGGGTTTAAACCAGTCGTAACACTGATGATAACATCTACACAACCAACTATGTGCACTGACATTTTAAATGAATGCATTTGTACACAAATGAGAAACTAGTACATGGTAACGTCACTGCACAGACCCTAAACAGAGCATTGTTTGAGGGCGGTTTAGTTATATAAAACAATGGACATGGCCTGATCCCATTTCAAATTAGAGTGGGGGAGGGAGTTAAATAAGAGATATTTAAAGTGAGAAACCAACGCCTCTCTGAACATAGGTCTATTTACATGTAAATAAGACATTTTACCAGCGAGTTAAAGTTGTGTTGTTTTTATCACCTACCTTGCAGGCACACCTGTATCTCATCATTAATCAGCTCTCATATGGTCATTTACCAATCACTTTTCCTGGTATACTGTATATTCTAGTTTTGTTTTCCTCCTTTGTATATCTTGTCACATTTTCAACTTGAATTTTTTTGTCCAAACTAAGAAAATTGTCTCCAGAGATCCATAAATCACTCAAACATCTGTCAACTTATTTTGATCACCCAATCAACTAATCTATAAAGAAATACAGTAGATTAGAGTTATGTGGGAAAAAAGCTAGATTTTAAAAGCAGATGTTGAGAGATTATAATGACTCTTCTGAGCCACAACTTTAATCCTCCAGAATAATTGCCATTAATATATCTATTGAGCTCTTGTTAAAGAGATAGTTCAGACATATTTGTGTGATTCTAGCTTATCAACATCAGTTTGGATAAATAGGTTTCATTTTGACAAGCTAAYGGCTAGTTTGAGCAGGACTGAAAGCAAAGTGGACTGCTAATATGTCTTTGTCATCAATACACAAACTATGATGCAATGATAAAATTTGCACTCTGCATTTGATCTATCTAGTGATGGGACGAACACTGGTGCGTCAGCACTGTGCCGAGCACACACGAGTGAAACCCCGTATTGGTGCGTGTATCGCTTTAAGAAAAAAGTCATGTGACTGATACAGAAAGTGTGTCGTTTGGATGTGCTGTGCCAAAGTGTGTTTATAAGGAAACAAACTATCGATATGTTGCGGATTTGTTGGATGGAGTTTGTTGTTGGATTTTTGCCCTCAACTTGTTCCACTGATCGTCATGGATCGTTCCAAGAAGTTTTCCTTAGTCTGGAATAATTTTGATCTTGTGGTGCCAAATAATAATAATAACAACAATAATAACAATAACAATAATAATAACAATAACAATAACAATAACAATAATAATACATAAACAAAGATTTATTTCTAAAATACGGGTTACAATCTCTGGAAATCTCTTGATATGAAGGTTGAGGAGAAGATACAACCACCTCTGTAATTGAAGTCGCTTGACTGCATGTAAGCTTTTCCATATTTTTTTCATTTTGTTTACCTGCAATGTTTTTTTTAACTACTGCAGGGGTCACTATTGAGTGACCAACACAGTGTCAATACAGAGCGGACAGTTTGTGTAGAGTGTCAATACACTCCTTGAGGTAACATCATCCCATCATTAGATCCATCATAAATGAAACACACCCAAGTGGAGCAGCGTACAGCTATGTATGCAAGCGCCTGGAGAGGTTTTTCAGTCCCAGTCCTCAAGGCACACTGCCCTGCATGTTTTAGAGGTTTCCTTGCTTTGACACACCTGATTCGATGACTGCAGTTCAACAAAAGCCTGTTAATCAGTTATCAATTGAAATCAGCTGTGTTGAAGCAGGGACACATCTAAAACATGCAGGGCAGAGTGGTTTGAGGACCAGGGTTGAAAAAAAACACTGAGTTAGAGATTAGGTGCCGGACACCACGCCAYGTGGGTGTGGCGGGGAGTCAAACCAGTGACTGTCTGGTCCCAATCAGCTACCCTACCACAGCACCACAGCTACACCATGTCATGTCATAAAGCAACTCCAATCTTGAATAAGTCTTTTACGCGTCGTGCCAACACTGCTTTACTCCATCAGTTTAGAACTATATTGTTATTTTTTTTTAGGATTTATTCCAATAATCATGCTGGGAGCGCTCCAGGTTGTATCAGAAGTGCCACTGCTGGCTGCTGTTGCCACTATTTAATCATAGTATTCACAGACATTGATGCAGTTTATGAATAGAGCTTGCTTCTACAGAACAAAAGGTCTGACATTTTCCTTTCAGAGCCCAATGTGCATGATCAGCTCAAGGAAAGAAATGGTGTTTCTAATAGTTTTAAATTAATTTTTAAAAAAAAAGACCAGGGGAGACAACAGATGGTGAAGTCTAAAAAAAAAAACTCTGAAAGATTCAGTCAACTCTCTCTCTCTTTTACTCATCTTTAGTAAATTCATCTGAAACATTCATGAAAATCCAACCACTTCATGTGATTTAATTTAATTTGAATGAAAGCATGAAGAGACTTCCGTCTTTCTCTTTCATGTCCTGTGGGAGGAAGCGTTGTGGTCAGGGCTGCATGGATCTTTCTAGGACGGTTTTCCAGCCATTTGGGTCTGGGGACCCCTTACAAGGGTGGAAAAAAAATTCCAGGGACCCCCTCATAAACCCTGCTCCGTTTTAAAAGATAGTTTAATGTCATTTCATCCCTTAAATTCCATAGGGATGTATTTTTACTAAACTTATTATATTTGTTTTATTAGTTCATTGTTCTTCATGCATTTTTTAAAAATAAAAAACAAATTAACAATTTAGTGAAATTTTTTGAGGACCCTCAAGATACCTCTTGCGGACCCCTGGGGGTCCTGGGACCCGAGTTCGAGAACCTCTGACACCTTGGTGGGCTTTATTGTACAACACACACACACACACACACACACACTTCCTATTTCCTTGCATCCAGCTGCCTTCCGAGAAAACATCTCTAAACTGGTCTGCATGTTTACTTATCGTTTTTTTTTTTTTTTTACCTTGGCTTTGGTCTGATATAAACAACAGCCTCTCCTGCTTCTGCCAGGACTACCTGAATATCCACTCTGTGAGGAAGATGATGGCTGCCAGAGTTTCATAACTTTCATAACTGAGAGTGAGCTGTTGTTCACTAGGATTAAACTCTACAAGACGAGAGGAAGTATAAAGTGTGAATAAGTAAAAATAATAAATAGCACTCCGATGATTAAGATTCCATGCTACAATAAAAAAAAATAATAATAAAATAAAATAAAACCAACTGCGTCCGTTCTGTTCTCTGTCTGGTGCATGTTTAGATAAAGTCCTGTCATAAGCTTATTTGACACACACTTTAATGAATAAATAAAACCGTTTTAAAGTGGTGCCAAATGTCGACATCAGTTCTGAAACGACTTCTGTTCAATTGTTCTTGACCATAACATGCCAGAGGCGCAAACAGCATCTCCATTTTTTTGCGCTTCAATCGCATAAAAAAAAAAAAGACGAGGCCTCCACAACAGGCCCCAGAATGCAAACCAGAAAACGGCACGATCGCAATAAAACAAGCCCATTTCGCCTTACCTTCAGCGAAACGAGGCTTTCATAACAGTGAGAAAGACTTTTGGTCCGCGTCGCTTCTTCTTTCTCCCGTGTTTCATAAGTTCTCTGACAGTCCGAACATCCTCCTCTTCCTCAGCGGGTCCTGCTTCTTAAAAAAAAAAGGGAAAAGAAAAAGAGCAAAAGTTTCAACATAAAATGTCGTCGATTTGAGGATGAGAAAAGGAAAAAAAACTAACAGCTTCGAGCGGTTCAGCTGGGCAGCTGAAAAGTTTGCGGCAGAAAGTAGGTGAGGTATGCTCACTTCCCTGTTACGCACGATGCGCCATTAAACGCAGGCGCGCGCTTTATTTCCTGCCTGCACGTTCAAGCCGAACCTGGCAGTCAGTCAGGCACAACTAAAACACAAACATCACGCCTGCTGTATTGTTGGGAGAACACCATGGCTCACTGTGAGGGTTTCTTTTTTTTTTATTTTTAACCTAACGTTTTAAAGTGCCTGTTCAYGCTGTGTTCTGGGACGTGTGGTTCTCTGGGCGGTCACCAAAGCAGCTCTTTAATGTGAAACAGATAGGCTGTAATGTTCCCGCCCTGTGTTGGTGAAGCAAACTGAGTGTTTAGAGGGCAGCTTCTTCCACAGAACGAGTCGTGGGCGGAGTAAATGTTGAGTCATTCAGCCAATGCTGCAACATCCAGTAAAACATGATGATACCATATCTGCTGAGGACAGTGGTCTCACCATGTCCGAGGTTTGTCCAACGGTAACTGCCTGCCTGTCTGAACATCTCATAAATAACCCGTAGGCAGTGGTGGGCAGCACTAATCTAAACATTAGCTGCACTAACCCTAAAGCACTAACTCAAATATTTAGGTCCCCTAATTCTAAAGCACTAACACATAGAAAATTTTTGCAAAAGTTCATTCGAAAGCACTAAAAATAATCCAGTTGACACATGAAACACTCTTCAGTCAACATGAGACAATGTTTAGTGTGTGCAGAATTATGTTACTTTGTCCCCTTGGTGGGTCAAATGGGAGTCACCCTCAGGCCACATTTGGCCCACGGGCCTTGAGTTTGACACGCGACCTTGCAGATAAGTGACACACAAGTGAACAAAATGTGTGACAGCTTTCACCCTCAACTGTGAACAGTAATGTTGATCAATAACATTTAAAGACCTCAGTTAGTGCTTCTAAATTTAGCCCATAAATTTAGCAAGTGCTAATCCACTAATAAGTGTTAAAACATAGCAAAAACCCTGAAGCACTAATCAAGAAATTTGTTCCCCTATTAGTGCTTTAGGGCTTTAGGGGAACTGTGCCCACCACTCCCTGTAGGACACACAGGTAGGGCTATACCTGCCTGTGACCTCTGACACTGGGCCCAAGTGTCAAGTAGCAAAGTACAAATACTTAAATTTACTCAAAAGTATACATTTTGGTTATATATATTTTATTGGAGTAATCATCTTTCATATGACTTTTACTTCTTACATTTTTAAAATGTAATAAGTATTTCTTTTCTGTTTCATCCAGCCTCCCATATAGAGTGAGTTTGTGTTTGGATGAGAAGTATATCTATAATGACACTGGTTTGTATGTGATGCACCGCACCTGCACATGACACAAATCAGGACACACTCCAGCAGGACATATCAGACATACAGTAATGTGGAAGTAGCATGAAGATCATATATATATTGTGCACAATATACTTACTTTTATAATTTACCACAAAAAGTAAAGAAATTTGTGTTTGGTAATAATGCTTCTTAACAATGAATCTTATAGCATTGGAAAGCCCATTAATTTCCCTTTTAAATGGTGCCACGTTTGTAAGGAACATGCATTTGTGGGACGATCAGTYGAGCTGAGTATGTGGGTTGCACACATGAAAGAAATTGACCAAATCTTCTCTGCCAAACAGTTTATTCTGCTTGTTTTGAGCTTCTGGTCCCCCCAGCTGCTTTCAGTCAGGTGCCCGCTGTAAGGTTTATTGCCAGGAAGCATTACAAGAAAGAAATAATCTACCAAACACAYATTTCTTTAGTTTTTGTGCTAAGTATAGTTTAAAATTCAGTACTTTTACAGTTTTACTTGAGTAAAGGTTTGCCTTAAAACTTAAATTTAACAGAAATCTGTTTAAACTCTATATCTTCTTCTAGTAATGAACGTGAATACGTTTGACACCTCTGCACTCAYTGCCACCTGTGTGAGATCCTGTTTATGCCACCTTTCTGCTGTGATCTGATCCATTTTCTCATGAATTATTTCATATTGTGTGAATGGTGATTCATCATTCACACTTTTCTTGTTTTTTATTCTTATTGTTTCAACATTGTTTTTGCTATTTTAGCCGTTTATATAGCAAACATTGATTACCCTGTTCAGGAAATGGTTACTATATGTTTTGAGTTTGTAATCTTTCTTTTCTCAGAATGTTTAATTTTGTTTACAGTTTTTTCCTGATATTAATACAGTGAGATCTCTTTAAATTTCTTTAAATCATTGTTCTGCTTCAGCAAATCTGCTCATTTTTGTTTAGTTTTGCTTCTTTTAGCTGCCGTAATTACCACCACATTATTTCTTRTTAATTTTCAGCTAGCCTTTTTACTCTTGGCTAGCTTTTTACTGCTTTAGCCAGCCTTTTGATACTTATAGTTATAGCTATAGTTGGGCTTTTTTTAGTTGTAATTACCACATTGCTACTTTAGTTTTTAGCTAGCAAATTCCCACTTTTGTGTTTTGCAATTTTTTATTAGCTAACATTTTGCTCCTTTTTGGAAAATGTTTCACTCCTTTTAGATTTTAGTTAATGTTTTGTTACTTTATCTAGCKTTTTACTTCTTAGATATTGGCTAGTGGTTTGCTATAAGTGTTGCACACCATAATTATAGGATTTTACTGGACAGAAATGTATTTAGCTGTTTAAAAAACTAATATCAAACATACTGCTATATAAAGTCAAATATTTTTGTGTTTTTAACAACAATACTATTATTGTCATTTTGCTGTGTTATCATTTAGCGGTGATAGCCTACCCAAATGTTTCAGGTTCTGGTTCACAAAAAACACCACAGACTTGAAAATCCAACTGGTTTAATGTCTAAT